CACGAAGCAATAAAATCAGGGTCACATGTATAATCTGTGGTCTTCTCCATCTCCATCATCTCAACAACTCTTTCTGAAAACTCAAGCTTCATTTTCTCCATCACGTTATGAGTCGCTTTCCTCATGGAGGAAAGTAGTTTTGGATAACTTACGTAATGATCAATCACGACTTTAACACAAACGGTTTCAAGATAACCACAGACTTCTTTTACAACGAGAAGTGGCAAACTATAGATATTGTTCACTTTTTTCCTAAGCAAACATGAATGAGGAGGGAAATTAGAAGAAAAGATCCCATTACTTTCCTCTACAACTTTCACCTCCTCAACAAGGAAACTTTCAGAGAATTTGTCACTCAAGTGAAGTTTTTTCGAAAACCGATCCAACATTTCCACTAACCGAGCATTGAAATGCATTTGTTTATCGTCCTCATACTCATTATAGTCGCCTTGTATCAACATCTTTTGAAGAGTTTCCTTCAAGGACCCAATAACAAGCATGAAAGCAGCAATAGCTTCGGGAACACTCATGAGATTGTTGGGTAATTGGTTGAGCTCCAAATTCAAAGCATTGAGCCCCTCATTGATCTTCTTGAGAATGTCCGGAAGACATTTCAATATGAATGCAAATTGCATCTGAACAAGCTTATTTGCCAAGGCGGGAATACCCAACATGGACTTTTCACTCTCAGGCAAATCTTTCACACGATGGAGACGTTCAAAGAGTGCGGATTCTTCCATTCTAGCTTCATTATGGGTTTCATCATTAATTCTGTTTCTAACATATATGTATCGGTAGCGATCAATGTTGTATTTGTTTATCCCAACAGTGTCGAAGACATTACCATATTTGACTTGGTCACATTTGGCAATCACAGCCAGCGTCCTCTCTCCTTTGTAGTCCATACTTCGTCTCCAATTTGAGAGATCACTGGTGGCAGATGCAACATTTATAATAATATTATCCTCGGCCATTTCGAACTCCATAGCAATACCTAAAACAATTAATATAAACGACATGTGCCCAATTAACACAAACTTAAAGGTTGTTTTTTTAGCAGTTACCTTAATTCTAGCAATAGCATTTATAATTTCATTAGTTATAGATATCCACGTTACACTATTGTTATGCACATGTGTATGATTATTTAGTAGTATGTGCATATTGCAATTAATAATATCATCATGAATTAATCATCCATTCAAGTGTTGGAGATGAGATATAAGTCATATAACATATGTTGACGATATATAATGATAAACTGATTTGACATTGGCATCTACAAAAAATACAAAATATTTAAAACATTACTAAAGGAAGAAAAAATACCCATTGTTTGTTCCGCATTATCTCGATGTATTCCGGGCAAATCGATTATGGTGAGATCCGGAATATCTCTCTTCTTCATCAACAATGTTAAAGGAACATTTCCTATCTTTTTACCTTCCCCAACAACCTCCATGGTAGCGTTATTAATGGCTTCGGATATTAGCATTTCGTTAATGATACGAACCGACTTTTTCTTATACTTTAGTAGGAATTCTGTGACAGGATACGGATGGTTTTGAAGCCTTATTATTAGAGGTACCCTTGTACAGGTTTCTTGTGCACATGGCAAACTTATGCCGATGAGTGACTCTATAAGGCTAGATTTCCCTGAGTCACGATTCCCGACAACAACAATGGTGGGGACAGAGATGCCTTCATTGATGACTTTAAGGTTGACGAGGTTGTCTATGGTTTCTTTAATGGGACGTATCTTGTCATTCCAAGATGAAAAAAGAGGTGGAAGGTATGATTTGGGATTGTGGAGAAGAAGATGGTCGGCTATTGTGTTGTCGTCATCGTCGTTATCATTCATTGCTTGAACAGATGCGTTGGAGGGAGAGAGGAGATGCATCGGGAGCTAGACGTAAGGAAATCTTCACTCGTAAACCAGAAAAAAATAAACAAAGTATTAGGATGTGATTGGACGTACTTTTTCAAAGCGAATATCACTAAGGAAATGTGATAATTACCGAATTTATCATTTATTAAATTAAGTGGAAAAAACAAATTTTCATATATTTGACAAAATTTAATGACTTTGAACAAATGGAAAAAAAAGTCCAAATACTTTGGCAAAGTTTCATTTTAGTTTTATTTTATTTTTTTTAACAGAAAAGTCTCGATTATTTTATTTTACATACTAATATCATTTCCTATTAAAATAAAAAAAATGTTAATTTGAATCAAAATGAAATAATTAAGACTTTTATGTTCAATTTTTTTTAGGAGGATTAAAATGAAAATTTTCCAAAAATATTGAATTTTTGTAACAATTTCTCATCGACCAAAAGAATCCGGCTTTTTGCATCCTTTCATATGCAATGGGCCGGGTTTACTGTGAAATTTTGATAGATCTAAAACCACATTGTATCTTATTTTTTAATTTATACTAAAACATCATCAACTTATTGTTTTGTACTTCATTTTAAATTGTAAGTTCATCTTTTTTTGTTTCATGTTTATTGAGTTACATTCTCTGAAAGATTGAGTATCAAAGCAGAAAGGCTTTCAGTTTTTACGTTTTCTTTTTAAAAAACTTGTTACACACATCTAAGATGACAACTCAAATAACTCAACAAAAAACTTGTGGATGTTCAAGTAACTAAGAGAACTCATCTAAATTTTTTATTGGATATCAACTGGTTCATCAACTTATCATACATATTGGTTAAACCAGTCCAAAAACCGACACTGACACTGGTATACACCTAATTGGTCCGGTCCAAGGTCCATTGAATTCTCCCAAACTGGTTTCGGCTCCAAATCGGTTCCAGTTCAGTCCGGTCAAAGGACCATCCCTATGACATATGGACCAAAAATCAAAAAGATTTTAATTTTGGACTTAACACGGTAAAAAACGAAAACACGTGGACTACTTTTTTATATTTACTTTTTTTTAGTAAGTTAGGTTTTTGGTTCTTGAGTAGAGGGGTTGATTGCAACTTTGGACCCAAAAAAAAACATATAATTTTGGTTCCTTTTTTAGAACTACAAACTAAGTTTATAAGAGGATTTGAAGATGAGAGATTACAAACCATTGGTTTTATTTAAAGTTCTTGTAATGTTTGTCTTTTTTCCAAATAAATATTTTTGATCCCTGAGTATAGTTGATTTATGCAATTTTGTTCCCAGAAATAATCATTTTATTTGGAACAAAAGAACTACAAAATTCTCACATAAGAAGACCTAAATTACAAAGAAATACATCTAGGACCGAAATTGCAAAAATAAGTTATACTCAGGCACCAATAATATAATTTTTTTTCCCATTTTATATGCAGAAACTTGTTGCACCAGGTGAAAAGGGTGACAATATTGGCTTGGGCTTGTAGTTAATTTTTTTCAAATAATTTTAAAAAACAAAAACTTTTGATTCCTCAAGACCTTGTCATCCTTAAGATTCATTACGGTTGATGATGATCATGATTTCTATATTAAGTCACTCTTTTTGTTTTAAGCCAATAAAAAACATTCATATACAACGTACAAACCTACCTTGTATCCCCAATCCTCATTAACTTATCCACTAATTGATTGTTTGATGGTGACTTATGTTTTATTGATTGAGTTTGAGGATCAAGAATACATCGTTGTGTTAAAGTATTGGCATAAGTGCCATAAAGAATGCATTAAAAGTGGTTGATTAGAACGAATAGACACCCAATTTGGCAAAAAGAAATAGCACTTGATCTTGATTAAAAATAAATGGATATTACATACACATAAAGTCATAAAAGAGGAATAAACAAGACAAGTAAAACCAAAAAGGATCACGACAAAAAATCCAAAAACATCAATGAAACTAAGAATAATTGTCGTTTGAAAGCTAAAAATAAATTCAAACCCATTTCCAAGTTTCCTTCAACAAAAGCGTCTCGAATCATCATATAAAATAAGAACACAATAAATTTTTAAGCAATTTAAAATTTAAAAAAAAAAAAAAAAAAAAAAAAAAAAAAAAACATTCATTCTTAAGCGGAACAACAACCAACTTTCTTAACAGCCGAAACATCATCCTTACTCCCAACATTAATCGTCTGTCCTTTAGGCAACCCCAAAGGATCATCCCCGGCATCAAGCGCCTTTCTACTCACCACATGATGTATCTGTGTCAACACTTCAGTAAAAGCCGTTTCAACATTCAACGCTTCAAGAGCAGACGTTTCCATAAAATATGTATTTTCCTTTTCCGCAAATGCCTTTGCTTCCTCTGTGGGGACCGCACGTAGGTGTCGAAGATCCGCCTTGTTTCCTACTAACATGATCACGATGTTTGAGTCTGTGTGGGCCCGGAGCTCTTTTAACCATCTTTCTACGTTCTCAAAGGTGACGTGGCGGGACGTGTCGTAGACTAGTAGGGCCCCCACTGCGCCACGGTAGTACGCGCTTGTGATTGCTCGGTACCTTAGGAAAATAGTAATGCATTTTTATTGATTTTTTATTATAGAATTGTACTTTCGAAAAACTACGTAGGTAGATTTTTCAAATATATATAATAAATGAAAATAATTTTGTCGCTTGTTGTCTTCTAATGCATTATGTCATATACCTTTTTTTTTATTTCATTTTATGTTATTTTTTCCACATGTCATTTTATGATATTTTCCATTTTATTAAATTCTACATAATAGTTACATGTAATAATAAATGAATATTATTATTAAAGGAGTTTCCTTGTTAGTTCAAAATTACTAAATTAAAGTCTCATTAGTTTCCTTTTTTTATTTATCTAAATTATTTGTTTAAATTATAAAAATAAAAAAAAAAAATAAAAAAATAAAAAACACTTTAATTTTAATAATTCAATATTTTTCTCATTTTTTTTTATAAATTCAAACTTCTCAAATGTTTAGAATTTCATATTTAATTTTTCTTTTAAATAAACTTATGTAAATAAATGAAAGTACACCTTTTGAAAAAGTAAAACAATAATATTAAGTTTGAAAAATCTAACTAGTTATAGGCTTACAGCAATATCATTCAAATAGGAAATAATTTTTATTGCTATAATTGGGTATATTATTAAAATTTAAAAGTATGATGTTCAAGTAAGGAAAAAATTGGAAGTATCAAAGTATAAAGTGAAACAAATTTTACTGTTATAACTGGTAGATTTTTGAAGTATGATGTTTGAATAAGAAAAAAATTTAGGTTTTTCAAAGTATAATGCCTTAATAAAAAAAAAAAAAAAAACAGAAGTACTTTGGTTGAGTCAAAAGAAATGAAAGTAATGTTTTTATGTCACAATAAAACAACTGAACAAGTTGTATTGTGTTTGAGTTAAAAGATAGATGATATATTGATATGTATTTTTAAAAGATGAAAGGGTCACCCAACTATTCCTTTAGTGTTAAGTAACCAAAAAAATTTTAGAAAAAAAAAATATATATATCTTCTATGCAACAAACGTGTCTACATGGTTCACTTTGTTAAGCTAAAATTGCTTCATTGCAAGTAAAATGAAGAACAAAGAGTCAAAGAGATGATCATACTTAAACTGAATATACCAAAATTAAGATCGCAAAACTGGAGAAATCTTTTCAACATTTGAAGAGGAAAACAAAGAAACCATTACAAAATTATAATCCTAAATATAATGTGGAGATTTTTACAAGAAAACTAAAATCGATTCAACGATTGACCTGAAAAAGAAGCATTTTTACTCAGGGATACAAAAGGATCTCGAATTTTGGAACAAAGGGAGTGTGATCGGGAAGTGTATATAAGAGTATGAGACAGCTTATTAGCTTATCAACACCTTCGAAAACGATGAAGATATAAACCCTAGAAATATATGATAGATCGAGATCTTAGGTAAAAAAAAAAGTAAATAATCAGATCTTAAAGTTCGGAGACCTTGAAAGAAGAAGAAGAAGAAGAAAACTTTCAATTTAAGAATCTCATACGACGGGGTATACAAGTATATTCTACAAACGAATCCAAGATTCCAAACATTGAAACAAAAAACAGACTTGTAGACGGATACATAGATGCATAGTATACACAGATGTGAAAGTTCATGAGAGAAACGAACCTTTCTTGTCCAGCAGTATCCCAAATCTGAGCCTTGACAATTTTATCATCAACACGGATACTTCTGGTAGCGAATTCGACGCCGATAGTTGACTTTGATTCCAGATTGAACTCGTTCTTAGCAAATCTAGAAAGCAAGTTCGATTTACCGACACCAGAATCTCCGATCAGAACTAACTTGAACAGATAATCGTAGTCATCGTCGGCTCTGTAAGCCGCCATGATTAGATACAGAAATGTAAAATTAACTTCGAATTTCAGTGTCTGAGGAAC